GGAGGAGGAGGAGGAGGAGGAGGAGGATGTGAAGGAGAAGGAGGAGGAGGGAGGACAGAGGGGCCAAGAGAGAAGAGGGACGAGGAGCGGGAGAAGAGAGTGGCGAGCGGAGGAGGGAGGAGAGAGAAGGGGTGAAGGGAGTGAGGAGACATGAGCAGGCAGGAGAGAGGCGGTGACGGAAACTGAAGAAGCGAGGAGGAGGGAGAATGAAGGAGGGTGGCATGAGCAGAGACGGGAAGAAAGGAGGGAGGAAGGGAACAAGGGAGAGATGGGGAAACACGAGTAGGAGAGGGACAGGGAGTTGGAGAAGAAAGGAAAGAGGAGGAGGAGGAGGACAAGGAGGAGGAAGGAGGAGGGAGGAAGGAAGGATGGAAGGAAGGGAGGCAGGAAAGAAGGAGGGAAGGCGTGAGGAGGAGGAGGAGGAGGAGGATAAAGGAGGAAGATAAAGGATGAAGAGAACGGATGGAGGAGGTGGAGTACACGTGCCTCGAGGAGGAGGAGTCGGAGGAGGTGACAGATGCGCGGCGCCGCCCAGTGCGCATGGGAGCACGGTGGCACCGCGGAGGAAGCCATGGGCCCCAGTGCGCTGGAGGACGGAAGGACGACGACGACAACGAATGGTGACTTTCTCGCGTGTCATTATTCCTTCTTGTGCACCCCCTTTCAGAAATCTGCTTCTTCCCAGGGCTGAACCTAAACGGTGTTGTTCGTTTTCGTTTTGTGATCGTTTTCCCTCGTTTTGTCTTCAATCCGCCCCTACCGCAAAACGAAGTCGAAACGAAAACGGCCCACGAAATCGCCAAAACACCATTTAGTTCGAGCCCTGCTTCTTCCTACCAGCTCCAGGGAAAACCCCGAAGGGCAACGACAAGGCATGAGAGGCACGAGGTAGGCATGTGAACGCAGAACTAGGAGCTAGAAACAGGCAGTGGGAGAGGTATCGAAGGAGGGAGGAGGAAGGAAGGTGGTGAGGAGGGAGGAAGGAGAGGGTCCGCCATAGGAGTACTGTCCAAGGGTAGGAGGAAACAGCTTCACTGATGGGGGGCGTCCAGGCAGACCGCGCCTATGCGACGAGAGCGCGCTTCCTGAGTAAAGTGCGAGGAGGTCTCAGGCGATAGCGTGATTTCTACGCAGACTGCGAGGTCGTGACGAACGGAAGCAACTGTTCTTTCACCAGCACGGATGCGCTGCGAGGAAAACTCTCAAGCGAGAGCGCAATAATTCCTGAGTGCGAGGGCCATAGAGCGCGGGAGCCGTCACTGTTGCAGCTCTGTGCCGTCACCACCCCGGGGCAAAAGAGCCATTCCTCCATGTGAAGACGGCTCTGGCCCCTCCTCCTCCTCCTCCTCCTCCTCCTCCTCCTCCTCCTCCTCCTCCTCATCTAGGACGAGAAGAATATATTGACACAATGTGCTATTCATACGTTCCGGAAATTCCGGGATTTCTAACAGCCTTCGCGCGGGGTACACTTTGCGTCGAGTATTGTCTACTCTGGCTGGCGTCGCTGGTCGGTCACCCATTCGCAATCGAGTGGTCGCCCGTAAGGGGCGGCTTGGCAGTTGCTGACCCCCCTTCTCAGTGCCGAACGCGAGGGGGACGGTGGCGCATCGTCCCATCGCCCGCCGCCGCGTACCGCGCGCCTCGGCGGATTCCCAAAGACCTGGCAAAGCAAATCATGCGCGACTCTGGAAAATTCTCCGGGGGTAAAGATGAACAAATCCGGGAACATTTTTGAACATGTCCGGCCTACTTGTAGGAGAATGCCAGAACCGTTTTTTGAAAATTACCGGGGTCGATTTTGAAAATTCCGGAGTCAATTTTGAAAAATTCCAGATTTCAGAATTCTTCAGATGTCCTGCGCGGCGGGCGCATTCCACCCCTCAAAACTGTTTTTTGAAAATTGCCGGGCTCCTTCTTGACAAATTCCGGGACCGCTTGCGCGAAAAAAAAAAGCGGAAGCATGTGCTGACACATACTATAACCAGACGGGCGGTCCGACGGGCGGTCCGACGGGCGCGGCCGGCGGATTCACGCGCCGCGCCGCGCGCGATTGGGCGCAGCGCGCGCCGCGCGTTGCGCCCGCGAACAGCACTCGAAGGGGCTACCTCGAAAACAGCGCCACGGCAGCTGCGACTCGCGGACCCCCCAAGAGCAAAACAGCATGCAGCTTGGAATATTCGAGGGCGCTCCGATGCGCGAAAAATGCACCGCGAACATCACGCGAAGAACCTGCGCGACGGAACGCCCTCGACCATTCGTCCCTGAAGCCCGCGCGGAAGAACAGGAAAACCTGGAAATCTGGAAAACTATCAATATGAATACTTCATGCTCCTCTGATCATCCTCCTCCTCCTCGGGCGTCTCGGAGTCAGTTGCGCGGAGGTCTGGAGCAGGAGCCGCGAACGTGCTTGCCGGACCCGCACACAGCTCTGAGCACACTTTTCGAGGAGGCCTCTCGGGCGAGAGCGTCGCCCCCGAGTCTGCGGACGTCTCTGGCCCTGGAGGAGGGGGAGGAGGAGGGGGAGGAGGAGGAGGAGGAGGAGGAGGAGGAGGAGGAGGAGGAGGAGGAGGAGGAGGCGTCTGTGAGGAGAGTGGCGGCTTGCGCACGGGCTGCGAGCGGGAGCCGTTGCCAGTGCAGAGGGGCCGTCGAGGGCCCACAACTGACGGGGCCGCGCTCTCTCGCAGGAGAGTGTGCGGCCCGCGCCGAGGCGGGGGCGCGCGGAACCGCTTCCACGGATCGGCCATATGCGTTGCCTGCGGGGGGAGGGGAGAGGCAAAGGGCGAGGGGGCGAGGTTCAGGGGAGGGGGGGGAGCTGGCAGGAGGGAGGAGGGGCGAGGGGGGGGGAGGCGGGAGGAGGTGGAAGCAGGAATCAGGGGGCACCAGAAAGGGGGAAGCGAGACGAGCAGAGGGGTGAGAGGGAGGAGCCGAAGGAGAGCGATGGAGGGCAGGAGGGGTTACGGTGAGGAATGGTTGCCTGGCGTGTCGATGCGGCTGCCTCCACAACACGCCATGCCTTGCAAGCTGATAGCGTGTCGCTCTGACTCGCGGGTGGGATGGGAGGCTGGGAACGCTCTGAACGCTGATGCTTGGGAATTGGGACATGCTTGGCGTGTCCCGCCGTAGCGTGGTTGGCTCCTCTGGCCGACACCGACACAAGGCAGAAACTTGTCCCCCCCCCCCTCCCCCCCACAACAACCTTCTGCCTGGAGGTGAACATGGAGGCAAGGCCGGAACTGCAGGTAGGGGTTCAGGCGGAGGTGCAGGCGAAGGTGAAGGTTGAGCTGCAGGTGGAGGCGGCGATGGCGGCGGGGGTTGGGGTTGGGGTGCAGGCAGAGTTGGAGGCGGAGATGAAGGTGGGGTGAAGGAGGCGGAGGAGGAGGAGGAGGAGGAGGAGGAGGAGGAGGCGAGAGATGGAAGCGGAGGAGGAGGCTGGAGGCGAAGATAGAGGTGAAGGTGAAGGTGAAGATGAAGATGGAAGTGGGGTGGAGGCAGGCGTGGAGGAGGCGGAGGCGGAGGCGAAGAGGCGGACACTCAAGGAGGAGAGGGAGGCGGAGGAAGAGGAAGAGAAGAAGGAGGAGGAGAAAGGAGAAGTATGTAGAAGGAAGAGGAAGGGGGGGGAGGGAGTGGAAGCAATGGACGAGAGAGGTCCAGAGGGGTGAGAGACTGGGAGAGGAGAACGGCCAGGAGGAAATCCGTCTTCAGTCCCAATAGAAATCCGCCGACCCTCGGCGTGTGGAAGACGCTCTTCCGTTGGTCGCCGTCGTCGTCGTCGTTGTCGTGTAATCTCCGTCGTCTCCTCGTCGTCTCCTCGTCGTCTCCGTCGTCGTCTCCGTCTCCGTCGTCTCCTCGTCGTCTCCGTCGTCCCCAGTCTCTTTTCCATGGGCCCTCATCCTGAAGCGCGCTAGCCAAAGCGACATTGAGTAACGTTGTCGCTGAGTCGAAGGGAAGCCCCTTCCCTTTGATCCCTTCCCCACCGGGGGGGGGGGGGGGGGTCGCCGGGGGGGGTCGCCACCCAGATACGCCTCCCCCCCGGGCGGTTCTGGGGCCCAGAAAACCCCCAAGACGCGGCAAAAGTGCCCCAAGAGGCTCCAAGACGGTCCTCGAGGGCCCCGCATCGCCGAACTATCGGTCGAACACGCCAAAGTAGCCTCCAGACGGCTCAAGAGGTTTCGAGAACGTCCCAAGAGGCCTCCAAAAGCACTCCCAAGAAGGCCCCAAGGTGCAAAAATCATAGCATTCCCTTTGTTTTTTGACGGTTTTTGGAGTTCTCGCGTTTTCGGCTTCCCGACGCTTCAAGACGGCCCAAGAGGCCCCCAATATCGCCCCAAGACGGCCCAAGAGGCCCCCAAGACGGCCCCAAGACGACCCAAGATGGCCCCAAGACGACCCAAGAGGCCTCCAAGACGGCCCAAGAGGCCCCGAAGACGGCTCCAAGAGGGAGCCCAGACAGGGGAGCCGAACGGACATTTCGAGCCCTCGCCCTGAGAGGCGCCCGGGCGGCCCCCAGAGGCCCCCAAGAAGCCCCCCAAGAGGCCCCAAGAGGCCCCCAAGAGACCCCCAGGAAGCCCCAAGAGGCCCTCACGAAGCTCCCAAGAGGCCCCAAGAGCCTCCGAAGAGGCCCCAAAACTACCCTCAAGAGACCCCCGAGAGCGCTCGTCGTCGCCGTCGCCGTCGCCGTCGCCGTCGCCGTCGTCGTCGTCGCCCTTCAGGGTCGGCGGCACTGGCCGTAAGGCCTTCGCAATTGAGGAAAAAAAGAAAAATCGTCGCCAATGAAGTCGAAGGGAAGCCCCTTCCCATCATCCCATCCCTGCCAGGGGGGGGTTCGGGGTCAGAATACCTCCCCCCTGGGGTTCCGGCGGATCCCGGTGGGGGGGGCGCCAGCGGAGGTCCTGGGGGAGGTCCCGCCTTCAGGGTGGGCGGCACCAGCCACAAGGCCTTTGCAAGAGGACGAGGCGACACAGAAGCCAGGCCTCAAGTGTCCTTGCCGAGCTTCTGCTTGACAAAAGTCGTCGTAGTCTCCACCGTGCCGCTGCACAGTTCAAAGACTGTGTAGACGCCGCCCAGAATCGCAAAGAGCTGGGGTACGAAGTGAAGCAACGGCTTGTCGTTTCGCTCGACTAAAACGGTCATGGGCGAGAAATCGTACATGAACCTCGCCTTGGGCACGGTGCTCTTGTTCGAGAGCCTCCGTGTTCTGCCTGAGTGCGTCAGCTGATAAAGGACTGGCTCATTCTTCAGTCTGACGCTCATCGCTTTCAGGTAGTGCTCGGGCGCCTCGTGGAAGTGCTCTACCGCAAAAGACCTGCCGTCCACGGGCATGAGGTTCTGTAGGATGTCGAACGGAATCCGTTGAAAAGACATAGTGGAAATCGTATCCTTTACTCTCATCGAGTCATCCGCGGCACCGAAGGAGAGGTGGTGTACCAGGTGTGACACATTTGTGAAAGCTGGATTGATGTCCACCTTCTCAAAGCGAAAAGGCTCCGCCTGGAGGTGGAAGGAGCCTGGCACACGAGGCACGTCAAGGTGCCCAGCAACTCTGCATCCCTCGCTGAAGATCGTGTGGTGCCGCGCGGTGATCAAGTGACTATTCCTGACAGACGTCGTCAGGAAGCTGATGATGTTCTCAATGGTGCGGTGCTGCTGAAAGACCTCGAAAGTGCCATCGCGCGTGTACAGCCGCAGAGTTGGGAAGGCTTGTATCTTCGCCTCCCTGCAAGTCTCGCTGAAGTCCACGCAATTCATCTTCAGAAGCTTCACCATCGCTGAACGCCCATTGCCATCTGTAAAATGCATGTTCTCGCTGATCCTACTCGTTGCCTCCACCCACGTAGGGTGGAATTGTCTGCAGTGGGAGCACCACTCGGCATAGAAGTTCACCAGGGTATACTCGTGAAACGTCACCGCTGCCTCAAAGTCCTTGTGTTTGAAATGATCACTGCTCGACGACCAATCGGAGTCCATCTCGGAAATCTCGGCGTCCGTGAGGTTCGCAGCCATGTCGGCCTGCTCCAGCAGTGCAATCTCCGCCGTGGTGTAAGTGGTGCCTGCAGTCTGCCCCGTGCCATTCAGCGGGAAATACTTGAGAGAGTTATTGCTGATAACCCGGTCGTTCCCGTACTTGTCCCACGCACCAATTCTCAGGTACTTGCACGGGAGGTCGAACAGAGAAATGTCGAACTCTATCCTCATGGCCTCGTCCCTCTGCCTGTCGATGACAACCTTCGTGCTGTAATTTGGAACAAGGAAGTCACGCAGCTCCGAGAAAAGCACGACAGCGATCAGTGCGTACGCCGCCACGGTGAGCAGCCCGCCGCACGTCGTGCCCCTGGTCAGATCGGCCGAGACCGTCCGGAAGCCGTCGACGTATAAGAGGAACTTTCTCATCGGCGATTCAAAGATGGGGCCCCGAGAGAGGGGGCCCTAAGCACGAGGGGCATCAGACACTGTAAATTCAACCTCGGACACCTTCCCTGTCCTTACAGTCAACGACCTCGAGGAACAATGAGTGAGGACCGAAGCACCTTTTTGGCCCCAAAGTGCCTGGGTGTATGATGAGCGCTGGAGTAACAGCCATCGAAGGGATCTGATGAACAACGAGCCCCAACCGAACACAATCTGACCCTTCTCTCAGCGTCTCAACTGTGGGAGCCCGTCCTTCGTTTTGTCCAACCATCCTCGACAACGCAACTCAGCGAAACAAACGCGAGGTCCCTGAGATTGCCACCTGCAGCGTGCAGTCGCACTGGAAGGACGAACTGGCTATCAGTGTATACACCCCACTCCTTCACAGGCTGCCTGCTTAGTTTCTTCACGCCCTTACGGGCGCATCGTCATTTCACCATTTTTGCTTGCCCATCGCTTTGGCCGCACGCGCCTGCAGCTTCATGTGTTGGCCACGGCGCCTCAACTTGGCCTCGAATGCCACGCCGTGCGCTCCTTTAGAAAATCCCTGACGCTACGACCCCAGCTGATCGAAGTTTGCCGAACACCACAGCGAAGGAATAACGATTTTTCCCACAGCGCAAAGCAACTGAACATCTCACCCTCAAGCACTGCACATCACCACAGCGAAGCTGCTCCGCAGCGCGAGACGGCGGAAGGCAGGATGGCCGCCGAGCCGTGGCATCGACGAGCCAACGCTTTGCAAAGGAGCCGTGGGCACAACGAAGGAAGAACCGAAGAGCGCAGGGCGAGGCCCCCTTCGAACCGCCGACCCTCAGCGCCACCCGCCCCCCGCCGGCAGCGGAGCCGTCCGCAGGGGGTGGCGAGGCGACGCCGCCGTGCTCCTCGCGGCCGCTCATCGCGAGAGCCAGGGCGACGCGAGGGTCAGGTCGGGCATGTCCCCTTACAGGTGGATTTTGGACGAAAAATATGAAAAATACCCCAAAAAATAACCGAAAATGCAAAAAATAATAGAAAAATCAGATTCCGACAATTTGAATACTCCTGTAGAGGGACACGCCCGACTTGACGCGAGGATGGGGGGGTGGGGCACAGGGGCGGCCCAGAGGACAACATCGCTTTAACAGGGGCCTCCCGAATGGGCTTCGAGCGGGAAATCGGAGGATCGCGACGCATCGCATCGCCGATGCATCGGCGACGTCGCGTGGAGGAAATCGGGCTCCGCTACACGTCGAGCCGCATCGGCGGTGCATCGGCGATGCGGTGCGATCCTCCGACCCCGTCTGATCCGGCCCCGTTGGGGAGGCCTGGATCCAAGCGGCCCCGGGGAAGAACCAAATGTAAGCATCCAGCCGCCCTCGTTCCCCGACCCCGCCTGGGTCGGGCATGCGCCGGACGGGGTTTCGAGGGACCTGGGTTTGTGAATGTCTGCTGCGGGGCGCCCCCCTCGCCCCTCTCTACGAACTGGAACTGCCGCGACTTGCAACCCTATCCTGGCGAAGGACCCAGCCATATGCACTCGTGAGTGCCGCGTTGTGGGTACCGCTCTCGGTGGAGCTCCCTACGGGGCCACGATCCTGGTGAGGGGCGTGCCGAAACGGGCGGGGGGGCGCGTGCGGACCCTGCCGCGGGAGCCTTCGGTGGAGCTCCCATTGGGGACACGATCCTGGCGAGGGGTGTGCCGAAATGGGAGGGGGGACGCATGCGGACCCTGCCACTGGGGCCTTCGGTGGAGCTCCCTATGGGGCCACGAACCGTGTGACCGGTGTGCCAGAATGGGATGGGCATGCGGAGAGCAGAGGCAAGGGGTGGAAGGAGGGTGCCGAAATGAGCGGGGGGACGCATGCAGACCCTGCCGCGGGGGCCTTCGGTGGAGCTCCCTGTGGGGCCACGATCCTCGAGAGGGGTGTGCCGAAATGAACGGGGGGACGCAAACAGACCCTGCCGCAGGGGCCTTCGGTGGAGCTCCCTATGGGGCCACGATCCTGGTGAGGGGTGTGCCGAAATAAGCGGGGGGACGCATGCGGACCCTGCCGCGGGGGCCTTCGGTGGAGCTCCCTGTGGGGCCACGATCCTGGTGAGGGGTGTGCCGAAATAAGCGGGGGGATGCATGCGGACCCTGCCGCTGCAGCCCTTGATGGAGCTCCCTATGGGGCCACGATCCTGGTGAGGGGTGTGCCGAAATGGGCGGGGGGGCGCGTGCGGACCCTGCCGCTGGGGCCTTCTTTGGAGCTCCCTATGGGGCCACGATCCTCGTGAGGGGTGTGCCGAAATGGGAGGGGGGACGCATGCGGAGCCTGCCACTGGGGCCTTCGGTGGAGCTCCTTATGGGGCCACGAACCGTGTGACCGGTGTGCCAGAATGGGATGGGCATGCGGAGAGCAGAGGCAAGGGATGGGAGGAGGGAGGAGGGAGGAGGGGACAGCGGGAGGTGAGGTGAGGTGACGAGGGGCGCAGTCTCCTCTTCAAAACGAGAACCCAACACCACAGGATGGTTGGGAAAAAAGGCTACGGCAGACCCGGCCTAGTTCTTCCATCATGTATCTGGCTTTGGGGCCTCATCACCAACCGGCACCCTTTCCCTGGGGCACTGGCTATAACCCACCTTGGAACATCGAGCAGGAATCGGCGATACGCTGCCGATAGGTCGTCCACAGGCCCCCGCTAGCGGATGCGCACGGTCCTGGGCCTGGGTGAACTCTCGGGGCCCTATCGATGCGTCCCCCCATGAGCCTATCTAGGACATGGCAAAAATCATGATAAGATTGGTTCGAGATACGTTCCAGGATCTCCAGAACATCCAGCAGCCCTCAATTCTGCAGCCCGTGTGGGACATCAGGAAACGCAGGAGATCCTGGAATTCGTGAAAGCCCTGGAACGCATCAGTATCATGACTTCTTGCTCCTCTGACATCCTCCCGACGCCCACCTCGGCACCATCTGATGCGTGTACTACAGGGACGCCGGCGGAAGGGACTTCTGAGAACGCGGCGTTGCGTTTGAGACTTTAAAATGGAGTGAACCCGTCCCGCGACGACCTTGCGGGCGAAGCCGAGCAGCCTTGGGAAATCGGCATCGCCCGTCTCAAGAGTCCCTGTCCCTGGGGTCACCTTTTTGCCGCTACGAAAGCGCCTGGCGGTTCGCTCGCGTTGCCAGTATCAGCCTGCGCACCGGAATCGATGTTCAGCAGCCCCCCTGCGCAACCATCGGATCACGAGAAGGGCAACGAGAACGAAGAAGAGGAGAAGGAGGAAGAGGAGGAGCAACAGCAGCAGGAGGAGAAAATGGGGAGGAGGAGACGGAGGAGGAGGAGGCGAAGGAGGAGGGGGAACGGGCGGAGGAGGAGGAGGAGGAGGAGGAGGAGGAGGAGGAGAGGAGTTGGAGGAGCAGAAGGGGGAGGAGAGGAGGAGGAGGAGGAGAAGGAGGAGGAGGAGGAGGAGGTGAAGGAGGAGGAGGAGGAGAAGGAGAGAGGAGGAGGAGGAGGGGGAGGAGAAGGGGAAGGAAGAGGAGGGAGGAGAGGAGGAGGAGGAGGAGGAGGAGGAGGAGGAGGAGAGAGAGGAGGAAAAGGAGGAGGAGGAGTTGGAGGAGGAGAAGGG